GTAGCCGTCGGCCGACTCGTCAAACACTGCGGACACTCCTCTCGGAGAACACATTCCGAACATTTGTTGCCATTGATTAATGAAGGGCTCGAACGCCATATGAGTGCCGCACACTATCGCGTAATCAGTATTACCTGAATGCACAACATTGACATTAATGAATGTTTCAATCACTTCACATTAATTAGAGTCCCATAGGATTGTGTGCATGAATTGCGATAGAAATTAGTTGTGTCCAAATCCAAGTGCCCAATGCTTCCTAACTCGCAATTTACTTAAAAGTGGGCGAATATGTCTGTTATGTTAAACACGTTTTTACCGGTTAACGCATAGTTAATGCTATGGGCCTAATGTTAAGTCTATGGAAGAATGATTTAACATGGGTTTCTACGGGATTACAAATTAAGTCTATTTTTACGACATGGTCGTAATTATTGAAAATATTCTTTGTTAAATTATAGCTAATTATTCCATTTTGTTTCATAATAATGTTTTAAAATAATGCTTAACATAAATACCTTGAATCAAATCATTAAAGGCTAGCGTTAATGCAGTCATACTGGAAGCACAGGCGGAGTCGACGAAAAATGCCGGTCCCTTCAAGTCGAACACATAGGATATCCGGTGGGCGTAAAGGCATTTCAGATTCCCCGCCGACGACACGAACGAATTGTTAACACTCTTGAGATTGTTATTCTGCATGTAATCCGGGAATCCCTGCGTAGAGCCATAGACCAAAGCGCCCACATATACACCCGTTTTTGTCCCTCTTAGCTCATCAGGGTTGATGCCTAAAATGGTACATTAAGGTGGTATACTTTACTAATATGTCAGTCAGTAGATTCTGTCGCCCGAATAATTGTAATAACTTTTAAACTAAACTAGAATCTTGAAAAACCATATAAGAGTATCACTATATGATTCCCGTCGGGAGGGGTTGAATGGCGTATAACTATTTTCCTCTATAGCGTTTACATCTGTTATTTCATTTTCAGACATTGTTTTGCAGTATTTTCAAATAAATCATCAAACAATTGTGCATTGTAACATTGAATTTGTTTTAACTTTTTAACAATTAAAGCATTAAAATCATATATTAAAGCAGAATTTAAAATTTAAAAACCAATCTCATATAAATCATTACAATTGCTTAATATTCATTTTGCTTCATTTTAATACTTGTGGCTAAGGTTTAACAGCGCTCATGAATATTGCTTTTGTTATTTGCAAATATAAGTTTTCATTTACTAATACTAATTGTATGCCTTCGCGGCCTCGCATTCAACGGTCATCTGTTGGAAAACCACCTAAAGTCTCGAGCGAGA